CACCCCTGGAGTGTGGGCTCAGGAAACAATGTGGAAGCTTGGTGGTGGACATTGGTCTGAGGAAACATTTTCAGTGTGCTCCAAGCTCCCAGAAAGATGCAAATTCAAAAGAAGCATCAGACAAGGTGTGCTGCAGCCTGTGGAGCCTGGCAGCCAAGGCAGAGCAGCAGACTGGCCCCAGGGCCAGCAGCACCCTCATCCCCATCACGGCCTCCATCAATCAATGTTCTGTTCCTTCTGTAGGACAGTCATTGGCTCCCTGAGTTCTAGATTCTGGGCACTATGATGCAGATACTGGGAGGGAACAGCTGAAAGACCAATCAAGAGAGCCACCAGGCAGCCCATTAGGAAAGGCTGATAAACAGATCAGGAAAGAGAGGGGAAAGGAATTCTAGCATGAAGGAGAGGGCGGTTTAAGATCTAATGCTAGCAACAGGTATGCATCATAAATTCAGGGCCAAGTGCAAATTAAATAAGAAGTAAAACATTTTTACTGACAGCCTCAGCAGAAGGGAACTGCTGGCTGGCAAAGCAGAAAGAGGCTGTATTTTCACTTCATATTTAGATATTAGGATACATATGCTAAATTCTACTCAATTAATAAATAAATACCTTCTCTGGGAGTCTGTGTCTTCCCAAGAAAAAATGATAATAGAAATTCAAGTCCTTGGAGATCCCAGAACTCAGCTGGCAACCCCAATCCCTAACTCTAAGCAACCATATCTCTAAACCTCAACCTAACCAAGAAAACCAAGTATCTAAATAAGAACCTAGAACTCAGGTCCTGGGGGACAATGCCCATGACGACTACCTAATACCCTTTCACAAAAATGGTGACGAGAATCCACGCTTCATTCAGTTGTCATGGGGCTTGAAGAAAGAAAACTCCACAAAGCAGTGACTATTCCAGGACTAGCCCTCGGACAGGCGATGAGCTCAATTCCTTCTATCTCAAGGCTCCTAGAGAATGCAATATAGAGGCAGCAAGGTATCATACAGAGTCATCTCTAGAGGAAGGAGTGAAGACAAGAGGAAATGGAGAACAGGAGGGGAGAGAGAAGACGTCAAGGAAAGAGCAGAGATGCTCCCCAGCCAGACCACCTGAGCTCCAGTCTCAGCCTTACCAGATCCAGGCCTCTCAGATGAGGTGGAAGACAGGAGGTGGACTGAGAGAAGTCTGTGGTACCACCTTCAGCAAGTATTGATCCAGAAGAACCAGGGAGGGATACACATACAAGAACAATCTGCCCTGCTATCAATGAGGTGGTGCCATGTTTGAAATCAGCTGCCTCGCTACAGTGACCAGTCACCATAGAGTGTCCTTGAGGTGGTGTGATATCAGAGTAACTGCCAGCATTCATCGAGGGCCCGCTCAAGACTGGCACCCACTGTACCAAAAGCTGAATATGAATTTCCAAGGACTCTACGAGCCAAAGAGTATCATCATCTTGATTTTACTGCAAAAGGAGGCACAGAAAGATCAGAATCTTGTCCAGAGCCACACATTGGAATTGCAGAGCCCGCCCCTTCTGTTTTTTAGAAGTGGACAGGCTTCCCTAACTGGACGTGGGCCCAATCTTCACATTGATAATGCAAGGGTTCTCTCCTGTCCCCTTCCAGCTCCAAGAGTGGAGAATTCAGAAGGTAAGAAGGAAGAGAGGTGGGCAGTTGGCAGAGCTGGACCTCCTGGCGTGTCCTTGTTCAGCGTACTTCAATTTTCTTTGCCTTATTTTCTTCATCTTTAAAGTGAGGGTATTTACTCATGCTTCATAATATGATCTAAAAACTTAATAACAAATGCTAAAGTGAACCACTCAGGGCCTGCGTATGGTAGCGCACCTGTTTTCCTTCTAGAATTTTGGCCATGAGATTCATCTGAGAATGTGGGTGATCCTTCTATCTTAGCAATCTTGGAAATATCCTTCATTTTTCGAATATTTATTTATTCATCATAGAACTGGGGATTGAAGCCAGGGCCCTGACTAAGCTCGTTAAGCACTCTGCACCTGAGCTACATCTCTCGTCCTGAAACATCCTATATTTTTAACATGAGAGTTGCATATAGTCAAACTGTACAACATGTTTTAATGAACATAGTATAATGTGATGGTCTTTACAGTCTAGCTAACTAAGGTATCCACCTCCACATCACTACACTCTTTCTGCCCTTCCTTCTCCTTCCTTTCCTCCCTCCTTCTCTCCCTCTCTCCTTCCCTTCCTTCCTTTTATGCACATAGTCAAGTCACCTGAAATCTGCTCTCTTTGCACATTTCCAGTATACAATATAGTATTGGCCGTCATTTTAAAGCCTTGTGGGTTTTGACTCTGTCCCCTGTGCCTACCATTGAGGGTGTGTTCTGGTGAATTAGAATCAGAACCTGCAATTTCAGCCAGAGGAAGAAATAGTGGAATAAAAGACCTGGCCAATCAGACTCATTGATGCTTGGCCCACTCTAGAAGGCAGCCCTTAGGGGATAAAGATCTGTAGAGCTGTCACATATAAGCCACAATCACTGGCCACCTTCGGGATGACTCAGACTTCCCGCTGAAAGAGCACAGTACTGATTGCTGGCCTTGGGCAGGCTCACTGCTCAATGAAAGGGTGAGTTCAAGGCCCTTAGCTCAAAATACCATTGGATGGCCGAAAGTACCAGTTGCTTCAAGCTGCTTTCTAAATCTGGACCTAGGGCCTCTCTGGTTTCACTTAGAGACTCAGCAGCGCCCAGCACACACTTAATACCCACTGTGCTGTGGCTGCCCACAGAGTGACATGTGGGCAGCCTCACCAGAGCCAAACCTACAGCAGCATCGTCTGGCAGAGGTCACAGAAGTGCCCTCTGCAGATACTCCAGTCACTCAAAAATCCCCATTTTATTTTGAAAATCTCATTCTTTAGACGTGTCTGGGCCAGAGCAATTAAACTTTGACAAATGCTGCTGGCCATGAATTGACAACCTGAACTCAGACTGTGGAGGTAAAAGCCAGAGAAAAACTCAGGGTCAAGTCTGATTCTCAAACCCCAGGGCAGCTGAGTCAAGTGCTCGACTTGGTAATTAATGAAGACTATTTCTTGGCAAGAACTCCTGCAAATCATATGATTGTGCTCCTGATGGAGAAACAGTGTGTTCTGTGAAAATCAAGGAGGCGGCAGTCAATACACTGCCTATGAAGTGCAAGCTGATAAAGACTTTCTGGAAATTCTTGGCAGCTGCGGTGTAAGGCATAAAATTAAGTTCAATGTCACATGCTACCTTGATATTTGGCAAAATCAGGAGGCCCTCAAATAGCCCAACTGCAAGCCCTCCCCCTCCTCCCGACACACACACAGCCCTGTGGATAATGTCCCCCAGTGATAAAAAGCCTTTTTACCAAAGGGACCAGGCACAGTTCCTGCTCATCTCCAACTAGCAGGATTCAGTTCCCTGGCAGTCAGCAAAACCATACAAATAACCCAATCATCTGTGAGAACCAGGCTCACCCCATCCTCCTGCCTGCCCACCCCAGCCCCTGCTGGTTGCTTCTTGTTGAGGGCAGCCCTGTGGGGCCCTGAATGGTGTGTGGTGTCCTCCCGCTCTGGGCTCTGAGCATGTGTGACTCATAAACCACCATCAATCTCATCTGCCCAGTGTCGGGTGTCATGCATTTGGCCATCTCCATAACCCTCGGGTGAGAATCTCTCATTTACCAATGAGATGAGTGGGAGGTGATTAAAACAACCACATGTTTCAAAATTTTAAATGCATACACTGCTCAACCTGGGAATTTCATTTCTAAGAGAATATCCTATAAATAGTCTCAGTGAAGCAAAAAGAGAAATATGCAGAAACAAGAATATTCATTGCCACATTGCATATAGGAGCAAAAAGTTGGAAATAAACTAAATAACCATTCACTGAGGAAATTAAATTATAGTAAACATAATCTGTGACATACTTCCCAACAGCTGAAAAGACATAGTAAGAATTTCAAGACTTCTCCTATCTAAGTAATACATCTAATGTAATCTGCCCAGTCTTTGTTAAAATATGAATCCCCAACTACATACATTCACGTGTGCGTGTGATAAAGGCTGGGAGGGAGAGGACAAGATGGATAAAAGTAGTAGCTTTTTGCATAGTGAGTGAGGAGAGGGCAAGTGGAACCTTTGGTGTCTTATGCTACACAGCTTTATTTTTTGTTGTAGCTATTTGCTTTTCATTTTTTTGCAGTTCTTTTGAGATGAGGTCTTGCTAATTGCCCAGGATGGTCTCAAACGCTTGGGTTCACAGAAACTCCTGCCTCTGTGTCACATCAAGCTAGGACCACAGGGGCATGGCACTCCACCCAGCTGTGCTCCCCAGTTTTGTACAGTTTGACTCTTTATTGATAAAATTAATTCTAGTTTTACTTATGTGCTGGTATAGAGACTTGAAAGTAAGTTGCACCTGATAAAAAACTTGCACCTGATAAAGGTTGCAGCGATTATGAAGAAACTGAACATTGAGAGCTACCTGCAGTGGGATATTACAGCCCCTCAGCCCACTGACATCTCCTGAGCCTTAGTGCTAATGTTAATCTAGAGGCTTCCTAAGAAGAAATCTCTCATTCCCATTTTCCATGTATCATGTAAATGGGTGATACACAAAGCCAACCCATTTTTATAAATCTTCTCAATTCTCTCCCGATCTTGTCTTTTATGTCACTTAATCTAATGCAGCATTTTTTTTAAAGCATGCAAAGGGAAGGAATGGAAGTGAGATCTGATAAATGAAAAATAACTCTCTCTATATAATACAGGCTACCCTTTTCACCCGTGTGAAAACCCAGTGCTAGTGTGCAGTCAGGTGCATGGTGCAGATCCTAAGGAAGGTCACTGGCTTTGGGGCAATGCTGCGTGCACCCGGGTCTGCTCATTCCTGGCAGGAGCCCAGACTCAGGCCTCCTCTTTCGCCCTGAGGATAGCCTCCTATGCTGAGCCCCACTGAACCCTGGCGCCCCTAGGACCCCTCGCGACGTCTCACCACGCTGATGCCATCATTGAGAAGGGCCTCCCCGAAGATGATCATGTAGAGTTGCTCGTTCACTCGCGCCTCCTCGAACACGGCCAGCACGGCCACGGGGTCCACCGCGGAGATGAGGCTGCCAAAGAGCAGGTTCTCCAGCAGGCTGATGTCGCTGAGGCCGAAGGCCCTGACCTGGCACACCAGGTAGAGCGACAGGCCGATGCCCAAGGCGTTGACCAGGGCCCCCAGGCCTGCCCACCACAGGATGGAGCCGATGTTCTCGAAGAAGGGCCGCGTGGGCATGAAGTAACCGCTCTCCAGCACGATGGGCGGGAGGAGATAGAGGAAGTAGATGCTGGAGTCCATGACGGGGGGCGACTTGTGGTCGGTGCCGAAGATGATGCTGCCCACCAGGGCCCCCACGAGGATGAGCAGGCAGCTTTCAGGCATGAGGCCCGGCAGCCGGTGGTAAAGATGGAAGCCTGTGGAAGTGCAGAGAAGCACGTTTGGAAATTGCTAATGAAGTGGTGCTCCTTGAAAGCCAAGCGGATAGGACCTGGGGCAAGCTGGCTGGCTTCTCTGAGCCTCAGTTTCCCATCTGTGGCAGGGACTGGAAGTGTTGCAAGGGCGGTGACTTGGGGTTTTTGCAGTGCTGGGAACCAAACCCAGGGCCTTGCACATGCTAGGCCAGCCCTCTACCACTGAGCTATATTCCTAGCTCAGGAAGGCTAGACTGTACACTTACAGATGCAGTTTCTGCATCCGGCTCATGCAAAAGCAGACACACGCACCTGGACTCTTTTCAGCTTTTCCAATCTTACTTCATTCCCCTCTTCACTAAACAAATAGGCAACAATTAAAAGTGGCTTATTTTGTCTCCTCTGTTTAGCCAGTGACATTGCTTCCTGGTCAGACACTGGAGAGGGAAATCAGGTCACATTCTCATGAACCCCTCTTCATCACCTTGGACCCTTCATGCCACCAGCCCTGAATTCCTCCAGTCCCTCTAAAGTCCACCTTCTCCTCTCCATTTCTATGCCACTGTCTTTATTGAAGACATCCTAATTCCTCATCTTAGATATTCATTTTTCTTCTCACCTCCTGCTGTACTTTTAATCTTGAATGTACCCCAGTGTCCTGAGTGTTAAAAGTTTTGGTCCCCAGGGAGGTGATAGTGTGAGATGATAAAACCTTTAAGAGGTAGGGCCTAGTGGGGGGGGGAGGCCCAGGTCAGTGGGAAAATGCTCTCAAAAGGGATTGTGAGACCCCTGCCCCTTACTCCTCTCCCTTTTGTTTCCCAGTAATGAGGTGAGCAAGTCTGCACTGCTGCATACCTTCACCACGATGTGCTGCCTCGCCACAAGTCTAAAAGCAAAGGAGCCAATTCCTCATGGGCTGGAACCTCCAAAACTGTGAGGCAAAATAAACCTTTCCTCTTTATAAGTTAATTATCTTAGGTATTTTGTCATAGTCAGAGAAAGGTGACAAATACAGCTCCATTCTCAACCTCAGTCCCCCAGCAGATTCCACACTCTCCAGCCAGATGAGTGTTTTACACCATATGTATCAGACTATCTCATTCCCCACCTAAAACTCAGAAGACGCAACAATAAACCAATAATATTGCTTGAGCGTCCCTCTGTGCTAAGTACTGTGAAGTAGAAAACTAAAGATGTAATGATCGACAACACAGCTCCCACTGATGATGAAATTTTAGAAGTAAGACCCAAGTTAGAAGACAGAAGTAATGGTATGTATTGCTGGGCGTTATGGCACATGCCTGTAATACTGAAGACTTGGGAGCTGAGGCAGGAGGAGCACAAATTCAAGGTCAGTCTTAGCAATTTAATGAGAGTCTCAGCAACTGAACAAGACACTGTCTCAAAATAAAAAGGACAGGGGATGTAAGTCAGTGGTAAAGTGCCCCTGGGTTAAATCCTCAGGACAAAGAAGAAAGAAGAAGAAGAAAAAGAAGTAATAAGATGAATAAATGTACAGTTAGCTGCATTTTGAACGTACCAACAAATATAGTAAAAGGTCAGAGGTCAGTGGGTCATCATGGGGACCTCTCCAAGTCTGCCTCCACACAGCTGACCCTACCTTTGTACATTCCCCATTTCAGCCAACCAAATTCCTTTCCTCTCCGTAGGTCTCCTTTTCTGTCTTCTTATCCTGTTATCACTGCTTGAATTATCCTTTTCTTGGTCTATTGGGGTCCTGCTCAGACTTTGAGGCTAAGATTCCTCCTGAAGAAATAATATATCTTTCTCTGAATTATCAAAAAAAAAAAATGATCTGCACTCTACCTGTCTGATAGCAATGGTCCCTTTCTACTTTTTGTTTTTTGCACGACTTCTGTGCCCTACTAACCTGTATTTTCCTCAGACTCAGGCAGAATGATTTATCTCTCTCCAAGTGCTTAGCACAGCGTCTTGTCTACACAGCTGGTCTGTTTGCTGAAAGAATCTGTAGGTATACAAAGGAGTGAGTTCACATCATCATGGATGTTGTTACATGGGACAAAATTGAATGGGCTGTTGGAAAAGGACCAGGATTTATGGCATTGGATGGCAGAATGAGAGACATTTTAGGTGGAAAGGACTCCAATGCAGAAGAGAGGCAGACTGGTTCAGTCAGATATTTTTGACGTTCATCGAGGACTTCCACCTGACTGGAGCAAATTTTGAATTGTGAAGAATATTAGAAAGAGAGAAGGTGATTTTGTCCCAAATAATAGAGGGGCTCCAATTCAAAATTAAGAGAGAGAGAATTCCTCCCAGGGGCCATCGGGAGCCAATAAATGTCTCCTCAGGGATATTTTGGGTTAGTCACCCAAAGAGGATATGGGTCCCTCCTCTATGCAGACAGGTTAGTACAATGGAGTATAATCCCCATCAATAGATGTGACACCGACTCCCACCTCCATTTCATTATCTTCAAGGCTAGCTTAGGGCTTCCTTTTAGAGTCATGGATTCTCTATTTCTCAATTACAACTTTATCAGCCTCTCTTTCTCTCTCTCTCTCTCTCTCTCTCTCTCTCTCTCTCTCTCTCTCTCCTTTCTTTATAGTTATTTTAATCAAACTCAACTTTTCTTAACACAAGAAGATGGAAAAGCCCAGAGTGTGATTCTCTAAGGTCTGTGGATTTCTAGGTTGGCCCTGCTTCCAGGAATCAAGTTTCCCAAAATGGATCCAGCATGTACCTGCCAAGCTGCACCTTCCTGTTGGAAGCTACCTACCCATAAGTAAGGCTTCCTAAAGGGACACATTATAGGCATTTCGCATTCTACAATGCTTCCCGCCTTTCACAAGGGACGACAGTTAGTCACTTTGAAATCCATCCCCAATTCTATAATCCCATCCTTACAAATGGTTCAAGGAAGATTCTTCAGTGATGTTCCAAAAGTTGTAGTAAAATAAAAGACAAAGTCTGAGGTGATGTTTTTGTTTTTGTTTTTGTTGTTATCTTTGTTCTGGAATATCCTTGCTTTACAAATGCATAAATTGATTATTTTAAAAGGAATTGGAGAGCGTTTTGTGTTTTTCTTCTGGAATGTCTACCAGTCAGTTGTAGGTTAACCTGTCCTCCTCCTTAAATCAAAAGGCCCTTGAGCAAGTACCAAGAATGCAACGCAAATAACAAGAAATGTTGGTGAGGAGGTGAGAAAAGGGGAACACTCATACATTGCTGATGGGTCTTCAAATTGGTGCAACCACTCTGGAAAGCAGTATAGAAAGTCCTCAAAAACCTAGGAATGGAACCCTATTTGCCCCAGCTATCCCACTCCTTGGTATGTATCCAAAGGAGTTAAAATAAGCATACTACAGTGAGCTGGCCACATGGATATTTATAGCAGCTCATATTTATTTATATGGAACCAACCTAGGTGCCCTTCAACAGATGAATGGATAAAGAAAATGGGGTGTTACTCAGCCATTAAGAAGAATGACTTTATGGTATTTGCCAGTAAAAGAACAGATCTGGAGACTATCAAGCTAAGTGAAGTAAGCCAATCCCCCAAAACCAAACATGGAGCGTTTTCTTTGATATATGGAAGCTAACTCACAATAAGGGGGTTGGAAGGGAAGAATAGAGGTTCAGTAGATTAGACAAAGGAGAATGGAGGGAAGGGAGGGAGAGAGGAACAGGGAAGACAGTAGAATGAATCTGACATAACTTTCCTATGTACACACATGAAAACACCACCGTGAATCTCACCATGGTGTACATCCACAAAAACAGGATCCTAATTAGAAGAAGATATATTCCATGCTCGCATAGTTATATCAAAATGCATTACCCTGTCATGAAAAACTAAAAAGAACCCCAAAAACTTAAATGAGGGAGTAAGAACAACAATTTGGAGGCAAAGGAAGCAAAATTACTTGATAGTCTCTGGATAACATAGGTGTGAAGGCTAAATGAACCCACAGGTAAGTGGATGTAATTTTCCAGTTTGAGTCAAAGATGGAAAACCACTTATTTAATATTTTTTCACATATGGAAATATAACTCATAAAATATGTTAAATATAAAAACGGAGTCTTTTCAGGGACAAATTTTAAGCATTTCCTTCAAGTTTTGATCTGCATGAATATGTGTATGAGCGCGTGAAAATCAAATATATGTTATAAAGTTGAAATGATACTCTCAATAGAATGTCACATCTCACTTATGTCAATAAAAATAATACATAAGCTTTCCCCATTATTAAATGTTCTTTTTAGTATTCTTACTTTTAGTTATAGGTCAACACAATATCTTTATTTTATTTTTATGTGGTCAAAGCCATGCATGCTAGGTGAGCCTCTACCTCTGTGCCACAACCCAACCCCTATTAAATGGACTTGGAAAAATAAAGGCCCTTGAGGTCAGGAACCATGGTCATTTCCGTGTATTGCATATATTCAGGTTTTATAATATAATCTAAAAAAGGTCATATGCATCCTTACATGTTAAAGTTTTACAAATCATCAGTATTATTACTATCATTGCCATTATTTTGCCTTTGGTAAGTGAACCATCTTATATAAAACTTCCAACCCAGTATTTGGCACATGGTATGCATTCAATAAATATGCCTTTTCTTCTCACCCCCATATCCATATGGAACACAGAAATTATATAGATTATTGAAGACTAGAAAACATGAAATCATACTCGAATAAGCATGTTCAAGCTGACAACCTACTTAAGCAATTTTCTCTTTCTAAACTATGTTCAATGGCGTTAACAGGAAAATAAGTGCATTTAAATCAGCAGTTCCACAGACAATAGTGTCCTCTGAGTTCTCTTAAATTTTAACAATAGTGAGTCTGAGCCACACCTTGAAAGGACAAGCTATGCTTTAGGTTAATATGAAACTAAGACGAAATGCACCCTTTCTGCATTGATTGATCTTCTGATGGACAAAGTGACCAACTAGTCAGGGACAGAACTAGTCTCCTGATTCCCAGACCAATGGTAACCATTACTGATAAAGGGAGGCTAAAGTGGGGCACGGACAGTGAAGGCCAAGAATCTTCAGCTACAGAGGGAACACTCAATTGTCACTCAAGACCATCTGAACATTTTCATTGTCAACATGGTTTTCATAAAGGTGTTAGACTCTTTGCTCTGAACTGAGGACGATATCCATTTGGAAAGCCATTTTTACTGGAACAGGTCTCTAAAATAACATGAGACCCTTTGTGCCACTTAATCACTTAATGAATCGCAAGGGAGCTCTTTAAACTAATAATTCCCATCCAATCTTTATACTCTATTAGTTCAAAATGAGTAAAAGTTATAAAGAAGCTCCTAATGAGCACACCTGTGCCCCAAGCCATAAGGAGGGAGTTAGATTAATAGATAAAAACCCACCAAAATTCAATGCAGACCATGTGTGGCTCAAACCCACATTTCAAATCCGTCTTAGAGACAATGTATATACATATAAATGGGCATCAAAATGTTCTAGAGATTCTATCTCAATCAGGCAATCTACCTACTCAAATAATACAAAGTTTAGAGGTGAGACAAAGGAGATATTATGCTTAGGAACTGAGATGATCATATTGATTTTCCACTTTGGAATAAGCTAATGTTCTAAGGAACAGGGGAGTGCAATTAAGGATTAAATAGTCGAAGAGTGTAAGGTACCCATTGCTTTTTTTTTTTTTGTTATACACACACACACACACACACACACACACACAAATACCGTGGTAGGAATTTAATCCTGTCATTTTTTTAAAAATCACTTTATTTCACAAAGGAGGCCATTGGCTCCATTTGACTTAGATGTAAACCAATATTTTACCAACAGATATCATCTGATTTGGCCCCATATCCTATCTCTGAGGGACACAAGAGTTGCCTGTGATTGTCTTGTGCCTTGCTTCTGTCAAGTTTCAAGGAACATGCACCACTTGTAAAGAATAAACAATGGAAGCCATTAATTAATTCCACATTTTGTGGTTGAGAATGAAGGAAGACTATTTCACAGAAGAAACATTATGTGGTTCCCGAAATTTCCAACCTGCTTCACTCCAAGGTCTTAATTTTGTAAAGCATATTGAGACTTTTACATGACAATGTCCCAACAGTGTCACCTGAAATGAGAAGAAACCAAAGGAACCCAGGACCTCACAGTCGTCTCTTAAATTTTAAAGCAGAATCCTGAAGCATTGAGCAGCTTTGTTAAAAATAAATAAAGAAGTTGTGACTTACCCTTGACCTATGGGAAGAGAATTTTTATTTAATCACAGTTAACATTTGAAATCCACTTAGTCCACCATCTATAAGGCATATTCACATATGTGATCTCATGTGAGAAACAACTTCTAAAACTAGGTGTTTGAGGACTTACCTATTTTTGCAAGAGATGCTAGGAGTATCCAGAGGGTGACCTCATAAGGAATTTGCACATAATCATAATCCAGTTCGAAAACAGATATCCTTTCATCTGGCACCGAGCTGGAAGCAGCAAACCAAGCCTTAGGTGCATGCTGAGCAGGGGAACTTGCAGATTCATTCAAATCAGAAGATGCCTCAGAGCCTACAAGGGCCACGAGCAATAACAACCAGATGCAAGGACTAAAAGGCACGAATATCTTGAGACCCATTCTGTGGGCTTCTGCTACACACCCTGGGTGCAGATGTGTGCCACACATCTGCCGCCGAGAGGACTTCTAGAGAACAGCTGCATTCACCTGGCTCAAGGTGACAGACACACAGTCCGTAGGTCCATCCAAGAAAGTCCAAGTATGTTGTTGAGGCTGTGTGTAGAAGATTTCTACTGTTTTTTTTTGTTGTTGTTGTTGTTTTGTTTTTTTTTTAATGCTTATGTTGGAGCAATTCAGCTTCGGACTCAGACACAGTCATTCAAAGAACTTGTTAAAGAAAGCACAAGGAGCTACCTGTAGAGGCTTCATGCGATCATGACCTGAAGAGCAATTTATAAAGGGGGGAAAAGAAATCTCCTCTTCAAAGCCGTTGGTTCCTCACTTCACTGCAGGCAGGTTTCATCTTGAGGGTGAAAACCGAAAAGGACACCACAGTGCTCATTCCATGTGCCATCAAAGTCCTTTTAATGAGGAAGGGAATCCTTGCCGCTCTGTGGCATCCCAGGAAGGAGCTACCTGTCCTGCCCCTGTCCCTGCTTTCCTCCCCTTGCTACTCTGTCACGTGTTCTGAATGGTCAAGGCAGGTAGTTCTTGAAACACACTTAATTATTTGCTCTGATTTGGCTTTTGTAATGAAATGTTTGCGCTGAGTGTTCGCCACAGGTTACACTGCTGCCACCTAGTGGGCGCCCACGATGAGACACCCTTGGCAAGTTGAGGGATGAATAAGGTGTAAACTAGAAACGTCCTGGAAAACTGTGTCTTACAGTCTCTATAAAAGAGGAAGGAAGAGGGGGAGTGGTGGCAATGGCTAGGATGACCTTGGCATAGTGTACTACCAGACTTCGTGATGAATAGTTCATAGGAGTGAAGCTTCACCTCTCCTGAAGTTTACCAAGAGTTTTTCAGAGAAAAACAAACCAAATAACAACTCCCATAGGTGCCTACAAATTTTCTTCCATCTTAAGGAATTCTGTTATTGGGGGTCCATTTGTTGAAAAGTTGTGCCACAGAATGTTTATGAAAGAATTGATTCTGAGGTGAATCTTAAGAATTTCTTTGTAGTTCTCTAACCTTTGGCCAAGTGAACTTGGCCAAGTGACTTCATTTGAAGAGAGAGGATAAGGCTGTTCATCTCACTGAGCAGCTACGAGCACTAAATGAGATGGTGTGGAGTTGGCGCTTAATAAATGTCGGTTTTCACTATTTGAAATCACACCTCTCGTTCTCATAGAAGATCAAATTGACAGGGTTGCAATAAAGAACAACAGTGAACAGGAAATGGTAATTATTATTCATCATTAATATCACTGCTTCTGCATCAAGCTGCACAGGGATTTCTGTTTTTTTCTAGTTTGCATCCTTCGAGCCGATGAGCCCACTACTGCCTGTATTCAGCAAAGATCCTTAGAAAACTGAGGAAGGATTGGTTGTGATCCCAACACCTAGTCCCAACTTCAAAATAAGATAGGAGAGTAAGGAGCTCACAAGTGGATGTTTTCTCTTTTCCTCGCTGTTAGACTCCAAGTTACTAAAATAAATCATCAGGTGTATTACAAGAAGGATACCATAATGAGTCCACTGTTCTTACTCAGAAGATATACACAAATGGCTTCGTAATAGAAAGCTTATTTATAATAGTTTTTTTTTTTAATTTTGGTATTGGGATTGAACCCACAGAGGCTTAACCACTGAACCACATCCCCACCCATTTTTTAATTTTATTTTTCAGTTTGAGATAGAGCCTCGCTAAGTTGCTGAGGCTGGCGTTGAACTTGTGATCCTCCTGCCTCAGCCTCCCCCTTTCTGGCTTTTACAGGCATGCGCCACTCTGCCGCCTTCAGTGTCTTACTTTTATTCGCATTTTTATTGTTTTTCTCTTCTATAAAGAAACGAGGGGGGATGGGGAATGTCTCTGTGGAAAGACCCAAACCAATTAGAAGACCTCCATTCTCAGGCGGAGAATTACCTGATTCACTTCAGGAAAGTTGCTCCAATTATTTGAGCCTCAGTTTTCTCATCTAGAAAAACTGAAGATGCTCTCCACATCAGGGATCCCTTTCCTGCTCGAAGATCGCAAGTCTTTGTGAATACACGATGAAGTGTTTTTACCTTACAATTACCTGACGGTTGATAGCACAATCACCGTTAGACAAGGGAAGCCATCTAGGGAGGGTAGCAGAATAACCTGATTGCCACACCAGCCTACCCTCTGGCACCCCAGGTGAAGAATGAGCTGCCCAACTTACTGACGCTTTCTGAAAGGCTTTCACAATTTAGTGCACAGAAGGTGAGACCAAGCCTCCAGGAGCAGGAAACCCAATGCAGAACCAGTTGAGGAGGAAAAAAAGCAAAGGAGAAGCACTTCTAGAATGAAAACCACAGGAGCTCTCAGACTCTCCCCCTAAGAAAACCCCCGTCACTGGTGAGAATTGTTAAATACAGAAGAGACTATTCAGTCTCTGCAAATTGTCCTCAGGACACTCAACAGTATCTGTAAGATCTGTGTCTTGGCACAGGTGTGTGGCTTGGCACTTTCTCTCCCCGCACCTCAGTTCAGTGTGAGGTAAGCTATTCTCTGGGTGGGCACGACCAAGAGTTGAGGATCCCTCTGATCCCCAGGATAATCCCCAGGATAGAGGTACAGTTTCTACCCAGAAGAGTCAGGCTGTCAGTACATGTTACCAGAACTGGCCCTGTCCCACCCCAGCAATGTGTCACTCAAGATCTCTTGCAGGCAGGCGTGACTGAGAGATCCCTTCTTCCTTCGAGCCCTACCCATAGAATTGAGCTTTAACCCCAGAGGCAGAGGGCCAGGAATATGGGGCCCCAATTACTCTCATCCAGCTTGCTCAGGGAACTGATTTTTCCTACCAGGAAGAACCAGCCAAGAAGACTAGGTAACTAGGGGCCACCAGCCCTGCCTAGCACCTCCCTCATAATGCAGAGCATCACTCTAAGAACGGCAGGTGGCTGACACTGTTCTCAACTCCAGGGTGGTGAAACAGGGTCTGCAAAAGAGGGAAGGCAAATCCTAGGACAGAGAGCCCTTCAGCTGTCTCTAAGGAGACCAGTTTTATTGGGGACTTAGTGTGTCGGGAAGTTCAAGCCTAAGGTCACTGTCCAAAACCATGGAGATTTGAATTGTGAGCCAGCAGGAAGAGCTGGGAGCTCCATGACAGCTGGAGAAAGGGTAAACCATTAAGAACTTTAAGAAGAACCCTCCTGAGGTCAGAGCAAGCCTCAAAGACGGGCCTCCAAACTTAGCCTGGGAAAGGAATGGAACTGACTTCAATTGATCAGATCACGGAGGCATTTATAGCCCAAGGCATTGGTGAGAATGATAGGCTGAGCTGAGTATAAATTATAGACCATTTGGCAGCTGAATGGGTGATCAGTGGGAAAAAAAAATCAAATAAAAGGCTAAAACCTGTCACCCTCGAGGAGAGAAGAGAAGGAAAGATATTATGAAAGATCCAGTTTGCTTTGGTGATATCAAGGCTGTATAGGGCATGATTTTACTGAAATCAGGCAGCCAAGTCACTAAACAGTCAAACGAGCAAATACCAAGCTCTGGAGTTGGAGAAGAGGGAAGGAGTTCAGTATCAAGAATTGCTCAAAGTCCAAAGCTCATCTAAAATATCCGGTTTTTAAAAACAACGAAAATGAGACTACACACTGCCCACAGATGATGCCCTTTTAGATTCAAACAAACAAGTAGATTAAGAATAAAAGAACAGAAAATATACCATGGAAACATTGTGGAAAGACCTGGAATAACTTACAAATAACTAACAAAATAGTCTGAAATAGCAAATGTTTCTGGCGGCAGATTTAGGAAATGAAAAGGGTCTATCTGTGACAGATGTGAATGGTGAGAACATACGGTTAAGAGAATAATTCCATAACATGGGCCCACTCTACTGACTCCTACGTGCTCTCTTTGTCAAAAAACAATTTACTTGCAGCCCTGCCTGGCCTAAGTAGACAGGATATGCCACATTCCTCAGCAAACTACCTGTTATCTGCAAAAAGCAAGGCAGGCAGAAAATTATGCTGATAAGAGGAACCCAAGTTAATTTTGTGACCCTTTTCACAGACCAGATTCCAGAAGATAAAGATAACTCCTCCTAAAGATAAAATCTGTAAGAATGTGTGGTTAAGAATCCAATTAGAATGGGCGCAGGTGGCACAGTTGTCATGGCAGTGTGACTTGAAAGTTTGATGTCAACCTACAGTCAGTCAAAAGGTGGACCTGGGCAGGATTTTCTGGAAACTTCTCTGGAATTCCCAATAAAATTGAAGGGCAGGTGAGAAACTGATGTGACTCCATTTTTAAAAATAAATAAATAACAGCAGCTTCTACCTCAAGGCCTGTCCTAAGGAAGGGGGCGTGACCCTTGTCCTTGGAAAAACCCAGAGAGCACTCCTAAGCACACACCCACCCTGCTGAGTTGTTTGTAAATAACCTGAGAGGTCTGTGGCGCCAGGTGTCCGTGACTCAGTTAGGCTAGGTGAGGACCCATAGCAACCCCTCTAGCAACCTCCAATCAGCATGAGACAGAGAAAATACGTGGAATGCCAGATGACCCCCAAGTGGTTTATGGTAGTTGATGACAAGTTGGGAAACCATGTAGTTTAGCACGTACACTCCTCGTGGCTTAAATCAATCAGTTCAAAGGAATCCCCCTCTTGTACTAACCAATCACCCCTACCCAACTTGTTCCCGCCAGTGAATGTGCTAATCAATGTTAAGAGTTGTTGTTTGATTTTCCCACGATATGGAATGATTTGCTGTGTGATGTTGTGACGCATAGAGTATCCCCCCAAAACCTATAAAATCTCACTGAACAAAGGACCGGGACTCACTCCCTGAGACCACTGCATCGGGAACGGTTGTGAGTCCAGGCTCGAGCTTGCAATAAAGACTCTTGTGTGATTGCATCGGATTCAGCTCGTGGAGGTCTGTTGGGGTCCCAAGAATCTGGCATAACACAGGAAAGCTACACTGTCCCTCTCCTCTCTGAGAGGACCCATCCCCTTCTTTGAGAGTGTCCCCTTTTCCTTATCCTGTCCCTTCAGTAAAACTCAGGCCTGTTCCTCTGAGTGACATGTCTGAAGTCTTCCTGACTTGATCACAAGAATTGGAGTTTGAAGGGGATCTTCCCACTGCCTCAGTGTCTGGGAAGGCCCCAGCTCTGTACCAAATCCATCAAGAAGATAAAGCATTTATAAACCTGTACATGCCAAGTGAGATTTGTCCCAGGAAGGCAAGGTTGGATTAATATCCAAAAGTCATCAAATATATGTATTGATTAAAGGACAAAACCTCTTCAATAGATTGAGAAAGAAAAATTTGTAAAATATCAACATATTCTCATTTTAAAAACACTCAAAGACTAAGAATAGAAGGGAACTTCCTCAACATGAGAGCATCACAGCCAGCATACCTAGTGGTAAAAGACTAAATATATTTTGTTTAAGATCAGGAATAAGACAAAGACTCTCATCACTTCTGTTCAACCTTCTACTAGAGGTTCTCTTCAGGGGAACTAG